AGATTTTACAATGAGCGTCAACAATTTCTTCATGTAGAGTGTCCATGAAATTGTCGAGCTTGTTGGTGATTTTAGTATCACCAATGTATTTTAGTAGTAATGTGATTTACTAAAGGCCGATGCAATTATGCGTTAAGTTCGGAAACGAGTTAGGGAAGTGTAGAGTGCACGCTCATCGAGCCAATGCATAATTGAATATGAATAATTGAAACGGGGTTCCAAGGGGCGAAGCCCCTGGCGGGGTACGGGGCAGCGCCCCGTTGGGGTTCCAAGGGGCGAAGCCCCTGGCGGGGTGCGGGGCAGCGCCCCGTTGGGGTCCAAGGGGCGGAGCAGGTGTGTCTTTTCGGTTTCAGTTATTGATCTCCTATATAAGGAGTCATTTGGCCTCGATTTCAACAACGGAAAAACGTCACTTTCTCTCTATATTTGTAATCAGTTTCTTTTGCCAGAAACAAATTGTTCTTCGAGAATTATCCCCACAAAGATTTCGTGAACCCAGGCAAGAATAAGGTCGAAATACTTTGTTCAGAAAGTGTACGAACACGATTCTTCGAAGTTATCCAAGATTATCATACCCAAATATCTTACAGAGCTCTCTTACCTCGGAATCCAAAACACCAAACAATAGATCAAATGCCATTGCCTTCTCAAACAAGATATCTAAATTGCAGGTATCCTTTGAGTCCATTTTTTTGAGATCATTTTCTCGGGCCAATAGATGAATATAAAGAACATGCAAATTCGCTAGCTTCTCAGAAAAATAGGCTAATCGATGATCTATTTCTGTTAAGGCTTGAAGGGATAGCTCGAGTTCTTCTTTAGTTGAGAATTCCTTGAGTGAGTAGAGTTTTTCTAAAACAACATCTCCGACGTAAAATCCATCTTCAACTTTATTACGAAATTCATCCATTGTTAATCTGTATCTTGCAAACCCCTTGGTTCATAAATTAGCAGCTAGTTCTATGATGTGAGTAATATAGAATTGTTATCTTGGTGCAAGAAGAGAAATAACTTCACTTTGTTCATTAATATAGTAACACTAACAGTTCATTACAGAATTTGTTAAGTATCATAACTAACTCTATCTTTATCCTATATTCAAGGAAATGAAATTTAAATGAAAAACAACATAAATTAACACATGGTAATTAGCATTGCTTTAGCTTTATCTATCTATTGATTATTTCGACATCTCAAATGGCTCCTCTAGAATTATTTTAGCTATTTCTAGCCGGACCCAAGCCCGGATAAAAGGAGAGGGTTGTGTTAGGCTTTCGACAAACTTTGTCGAATCTCTATAACATGGATCAACTACATAATAATGTGAATTATAGGTCGTTGCTCGTAAGCAACGCGTTGTATGGCTCGAGTACAGTGTCAAAAGAGCATGGACCGCTGCATCACCGTCCGGATGTAGTGAAAAATAAGCAAGAGTTCCCATTTTTTTGTGAACGGGTATGGATAAAGAAGCAAGTTCATGAAAGGAGGATTCGCTTTGGTTCATGGAATATAGACACACTCACTGGAAAATCTATGGAAATAGTGGATGTTATGTTTAGGAGGAATATCAATTTTATGCGCCTACAAGAAACAAAGTGGACCGGTGAAAAAGTGAAAGAATTAGACAACTTGGGATTTAAGCTTTGGTATACTGAAAAAATTAGATCAAGAAATGGGATAGAGATTATTGTGGATAAGGAGTGTAAGAAGGATGTTGTGGATGTAAGAAGAGTAAGAGATCAAATCATATCCTTGAAACTTGTAGTGAGATAAGACACCTTTAATGTTATTAGTGGGTATGTACCTCAGGTTGGGTTAGCAGAATACTTTAAGGTAAAATTTTGGGAGGATTTAGAAGTTTAGGGACATGTCCTCAGATAGATTTCTTTCTTATCAGGAAGTCTGATAGGAAGTATTGCTTGAACTGTAAAGTTATCCCGGGAGAGAGCTTGCTACCTAACATAGAGTTTTGGTTATGGATGTAAGAATTAAAGAAAGGGCGAAGAGAAGAAGTCTTATGGTAGCACCAAGGATCAAATGGTTACATTTGAAGAGTGAGAACCAAGGAATTTTCCAACAAAAGATATGGGAGGGATGATTTGAATAATTACAATGAAGTACAAATGATATGTGGAACAAGATGGCCTAAGAGATTAGAAAAGTGGCTAAAGAGATGTTGGGTGAATATAGAGGTTTTGGACCTAGAGGTAAAGAATTTTGGTGGTGGAATGAAAGTGTCCAGAGCAAAGTTAAAGTAAAAAAGACTGTTTTAAAGAGTGGTTTAGGTGTAGAAATTCTGAAACTTGAGAAAAGTACAAGATAGCTAAAAATGGAACCAAAAATGCGGTGAGTGAAGAAAGAACCCAAGCTTTTGATGGACTATACCAATCTGTAGGAACCAAGGAGAGAGAAAGATCTATATATAGGCTTTATAAGGGAAGAGAAAGAAATACTAGAGATTTAGATAAAGTAAAGTGTGTTAAGGATGAAAAAGGAAAAGTCTTAGTGCAGGAAAAAGATATAAAAGATAGGTGGAAGGCGTATTTTCATAACTTATTTAATGATGGATATGGGTATGACTCTAGCAGATTAGACATAAGAGAAGAGGATCGGAACTATAGTTACTATCGCCGGATTCAGAAACAGGAGGTAAAGGAAGCGCTGAAAAGAATGAGTAACGGTAAAGCGGTGGGGCTAGACAACATACCTATTTAAGTGTGGAAACTTCTTTGAGATAGAGGTATTGAGTGGCTCACCAAACTCTTTAATGAAATTATGAGGTCAAAACGCATGCCAGATAAATGGAGGAGAAACACTTTAGTTCCTATCTATAAGAACAAAGAGGATATACAAAATTGTGAAAATTATAGGGGAGTCAAGCTTATGAGTCATACCATGAATTTATGGGAAAGAGTGGTTGAACAGAGATTAAGAAAAGAGACTCAAGTTACTGAGAATCAATTTGGTTTTATGCCGGGAAGATCGACCATGAAAGCGATATATCTATTACGACGGGTGATGAAGCAATATTGAATGAAGCAATATTGAATGGACCAACAAGACTTGCACTTATTTTTTATTGACTTGGAGAAGGCGTATGATAGAGTGCCTAGAGAGATTCTGTGAAAAGGTCTAGAGAAGAAAAGGGTTAGGGTTGCATATATTCGAGCTATCCAAGATATGTATGAAAGGGTATCGATTAGTGTTAGGACACATGGAAGAGAGACAGACGATTTTCCCATCACAATTGGTTTGCATCAAGGGTCAACCCTAAGCCCCTACCTTTTTACCTTAATTTTGGATGTACTCACGAAACAAATCCAAGAGATAGCGCCGAGATGCATGCTTTTTGCAGATGATATAGTCCTCCTTGGAGAGTCGAGTGAGGAGTTAAATGAGAGGTTGAAAACCTGAAGAGAGCTTTAGAAACACATGGCTTTCGCCTAAGCAGAAATAAGTCGGAATATATGGAATGTAAGTTCAACAAAAGAAGCAGGGTTTCTAACTTAGAGGTGAAAGTAGGATACCATATTATCCCTCAAGTCACACGGTTTAAATATCCTGGGTCCGTAATACAGAATGTTGGAGAAATAGAAGATGTAAATCATCGTATTCAAGTTGGATGGATGAAATGGAGAAAGGCATCAGGTGTTTTATGTGATGCAAAGGTACCGCTCAAGATAAATGGAATGTTTTATCGGATTGTGGTAAGACCTGCGATTTTGTACAGAACAAAATGTTGGGAAGTTAAGAACCAACACGAGAATAAAGTAGGTGTAGCGGAGATGAGGATGTTGCGGTGGATGTGTGGTAAGACTCTACGGGATAAAATTAGAAAAGAAATTATTAGAGAGAGAGTTGGAGTAGCGCCTATTATAGAGAAGATGATGGAAAATAAACTTAGGTGGTTTGAGCATGTAGAGAGAAGACTGTAGACTCTATAGTAAGGAGAGTAGACCAGATGGAGAGAAGACAAACAATTCGAGGAAGAGGAAGACCCAAAAAGACTATAAGAGAAGTTATCAAGAAGGATCTCGAAATTAATGATTTGGATAGAAGCATGGCCCTTGATAGAACATTATGGCGAAAGTTGATCCATGTAGCCGACCACACCTAATGGGATAAGGCGTAGTAGTAGTTGTTGTTGTATGTAAACAATCTCACATTGGACAATATATGGCATGCACGTATACTTATAAGTGGGGGCAATTCTCACTTTATAAGTTGGTTTTGTAGAGATAAGTTAGGCTCAACCACATTTCATAATATAGTGGTTTAAGATCAGGTGAGCTACTTGCTATCAGGTTTCCACTATCGAGATGCCAACCATTTATTTCTATGCTCCAAATGTCTAATCTTAGGCTTGAAGGAAGTGTGTTAAGAGTCTCACATCGAACAATATATGACCTAAACATTTATAAGTTGAGGCAAGATGAAAGGGTTTTGATGAAGGAAAAAAAGATGAATTTGTATGCCCTTTGCTAGCCAGTGACGAAGAGAAAACCTAGAGGTGCCAATGAGGTTGTGAATGGTGGTGAAACCAAACTCCAACGAGAGACTTAGAGGCCAGAAAGTTATTATCTGGGACGAGTTGACTAACTAACTAAACTTCATCACCAACACGACGAATAGATGGTAGGAAGGTGGCGCGTGTTCCTCACGCATTGCCGAGAAACAAATCATTATAACAATAAATACATATGTAAACTAATGCTAATATACAACCACTCCAACAATATGCAGAGTGCTCAGGCAAATGTATCCATCCTTATAATTATCTTTCTTGGTGGCATGACACTTTCAACATATTGTTGACAGGATTAAAACTCAGCAAGCTGCATGAAAAACATCTTTATTATCCGTCGCTGGTACAGTTCTCTTAATTAAGTTTGTCATTCACAATATGTTGCAAAACTACACGAATATTCAAATATACAATCAATAAGCTAAAGGACTAAAGAGAAGCAAAACTGCACAAAATACAAACACACAAAAATCAGCTATGTCACAACTTGGCTGTAGAGACCTTTGAGAAAAGAAAACATGTTTTCATCCAACAAGCAGAAGCCTAACACAGAAATCAGAAGAATAAAAACTGCAAGCTTATTTGCTGAAACAGAAGATGTTGCTCGAGTTTCCGAGTTTCCTATTTCTGATTGTTCACCCACCTAATAATAGAAACCAAAAAAGGAAGAAGCTTTTAGCATCAAAGACAAAATTATCAGTATGTATGTTAATGATATAGTAACTAAAAGTGACAAAAAAAAGTACCTGCCTGAAAGGTTTTATTCAAGTGGTCTTCTATTCCATTGATGCATGCGCCAATTCGAGTCTCCTTTAACTTTCCAACCAAACTTCTATTTTCCTGTTTTAAACAATCTAGCTGTTTATTGATACGCTCCCTTTCCGCGGCTAGCTGAATTACCATATCCATGATCATCTTGGTTCTCGTATCAACTTCTTTTATACTCGATAACTTTGTATTGCTAGCTTGATCCAAAGATGTTTTCAGACTAACCATTCTGGACTTGAGAACATCCAACTCTTCATGAAGTTCTATGTTTGTTTCAGATAGCACAATGCATCTTTCTTCTGCACTATCTTTATTACTTTCAGCTTCTGAAACCTTAGAGTTGAGATCTTCGATTAATATTTCCATATCCCATATTGCTTTGTATAACATATTCTGCTGTTCTTGACTAGCTTCAGAAGATGCTTTCGCATTCTGTACTTGGATATCTAATTCCCTTACTTGCTTCTCAAGTAATCCGACTTTTTTCTCAGCTGTACTAGCACTCCCTTTAAGAAAATCTAGCTCTTCGGTAAGTTCGATATTCGTTTCAGTTAACTGCGTAACTTTTTCTTCAGCATTCTCCGCTCGATTTTCTGCTATGTCAACGCTTTCTTTTAGAGATTCAGCAAAACTTTCGATTTCAATAAATTGTTCGTGAAGTTGTTCATTCTCTTCCGTCAATGAATTAATCTGAACCTCGTAACCCTTCCGTCCTTCTTCAAGAACTTTCACCTTTTCCTTCAAAGCCATCACCTCGGAATTTTCTTGAACATTGTCGACAATGACATTAGCACTGCATCTCTCGTGATTCTCTAAAGCAACATCATTAACCTTCAGTTCTTCAATTAAACTTTGAACTTTTGATTTTAGCTCGTTTTCGCGTTGTATAGAACTGTTGAGGTTGAACTCAGTTACTTGGAGACGTCCCATTATTCCTTTGGAAATTCCCATTAACACCTCCGTCGCATTGTCTGCCTCGAGGAATCTTCCCCAAACAACTTCTGCTGTTTCTTCCATATAAAACGCCACTTGTTCCGTGTAGCGGAGTTTCATCTTTAGTTCTTCATTGTTTCTTGAATCTGCTAACTTCTTTTCAAGATCTAGCTCCCTTGCGAGCGACTTCTCAAGCATTCGCAGAATATATCTTCGTTGTTTTGCCATCTGATCGTTTGATTTCACTTTCATGTTTACCAGCTGACCATTTTCTGATAAACACAATGCCTTCTCCATATTCCCTGTTTACATGGATTGCTAAGAAAGGTAAATAGTCGAAAAATAACCGCAACCTAAACAAAAAGAAATATCTGAGTAAATATTTCAACTTACAATTCTCATCTTGAAAAGCCGTGAGACTTTTCTGTAGCTGCGGCGCCTGAATCTTTAACTCTGATAACTGCTGTTGAACTTGCTTTGCAGACTCTTTGAAATCTTGCAATTTTTCATCCATAGTAAAGAAAACCTCTGTCAAATGTCTGCACGACAAGATTTTACGATGAGCGTCAACAATTTCTTCATGTAGAGTGTCCATGAAATTGTCGAGCTCTCTTACCTCGGAATCCAAAACGCCAGACAATAGATCAAATGCCATTGCCTTCTCAAACAAGATATCTAAATTGCAGGTATCCTTTGACTCCATTTCTTCAAGATCATTTTCTTGGGCCAACAGATGAATATAAAGAACATGCAAACTCGCTAGCTTCTCAGAAAAATAGGCTAACCGATGATCTATTTCTGTTAAGGCTTGAAGGGATATCTCGAGTTCTTCTTTAGTTGAGAATTCCTTGAGTGAGTAGAGTTTTTCTAAAACAGCATCTCCGGCGTAAAATCCATCTTCAACATTGTTATCAAATTCATCCATTGCTATTCTGTATCTTTTGGACCCTTGGTTCAGAAAATAGCAGCTAGTTCTGTGAGTAAGTTAGAAATGTTACTTTGGTGCAAGAAGAGAAACAACTTCACTTTGTACAATATAGTAATACTAACTGTTCATAACAGAATTTGTTAAGTATCATAACTAACTCTATCTTTATCCTACAATCAAGGAAATGAAATTTAAAAGAGTGAAGCATTAAATCCGGTCTTAACATCATAAACCACTTGAAATCTTTGTTTTCTAACAAATTCAGATCAAACTGTATCAGCAATCCTTATAAATCCATGAAAAATAACCACTAAAACACCATTAATTATAAACATCACCACAATTCTAACTGCCATTCAGCTTACAACATATCCAAAATTTGAAATTTCCAACAGCAATTCTCAACAAAAACTCCCAACCTTACAATTCAAAAACATGAAACTGCCATTCCTATTAGAATCAACAAGCATGACTTTCTAAATTCCACCTATAACATACAGATAAAGAAAGTTCCAAAAATAAAACAAATTCTCAATTGGGAATTCAGAGATTAATCCTTACCTTTTTTCTGGAAAGTCTATCTGGAAGAACTTTTAGCCAAGTCTTTCAACTACCACTCATCTCCAAATAAATGAATCAGCTTTTCTCATTCTCCAAGGTAAGCACTAAAGTGCAAACAGATAACTGGTCAAACAAGAGCAGAAAACTAGAATAGAATAATCAAAGAAAAAAAATCAAGAATTGGAATGGGGTGCACGTTGATTTTGAACAGTTAAAACAATGACTTTTTGAATGATTGAATTTGAGTTTGAGTTGAGGCACAAGATAAAACAATAGAGTATGAACAAATTGAGAGATAGGACACAGATCTATCAGTTCGATGTATGGTTTAGGTGGCTGTAAAGTTCAAGTGTATTGGTTGTTGTGGGGGGGCCCTCTCTATGGATTCAGACAACTTTCTGAGACAAAATAATCACTGGTCATTTGATTAATGTTTTGTATTGTAACATTTTTTTTTAATTGTTAGAAAAGGATGTTTATAGTAGCATTTTATTTATATCATAGATTAATAAATTAAACATATGAGTTTATAAAATGAGTAATAAAAATTTGGCTACAATCATTAATGATATCATTAAATCAGAGACCCGTAGGCATGTTTTTATAGAACATAGAAGTTATCAATAACTTAGTCATTGGTGTAAGAAAAGGGAAAGGATACTCTCCCAGGTAATTATTAGTCCACTGCCATTACAATGGTTGCATTTTATCAATTGTGGATTATTAAATTAATCAAAAATTGATTGAAGGGTGGCGATGAAAACTGGACTCCTTCCAATTAATTTCTCATGGGAGACATTCTCCCCATGTAAGAAAAATAGAGGATCGAGACTTAAAATTTGTTTGGATAATTTAAAATTAATGGAATAGAGTCGAGTGAAGTGAAATAAAACGGAGTAGAATGAAATTGAACGGAATATAAACTTTAATATATTGTTTGGATCTTTTAGGAGAGAGCCGAACTAATATTCCATTTTACTGTTTGAAAACTGAATGAAGCGGAAAGTATTATAATATTTTTATTTTATTTTTGTCCTTTACTTCAATAATATTAATATGGTTAATATGAGATTTTAGAGGACAATATTGAAATTGTGTTATTGATTTATTTCATTCCATTGAATACACTTTAGTTTGAGTGGAATGAAAAATGGATTAAAATAGTGGTATTGGATAGAATGAGTTTCATCACATTCCATCCATTTATTTTTTATAAGAGTATTTCTTAATCCACCCCATAGTTTTCTAACGCATCACGCGAAAATACAAAAATGCCTCTGGAAATCAGAAATGTATTTTTGATACGCACCCATACCTGAATTTTGGTGGACGAGACCCTATGTAATAGTTGAGAACTAACCGAAAATATAACTACGGTTGGAATCGTAATTGTATTTCTGGAAGCACAACAAATACACACAATTGTTAAGACTCAGAAACTCAAGCTAACACGCAGATATAAATCGGAAATGCATTTACGGTTGGGACAATAGTTGTATTTCCGGTTCTTGTTGACACTTAAACGCGCGCTGCCTCTTCCTCTTCCTCATTTTCAAAAACATTTTGAAAACAAAAACACTTAACACACAAAAATCAAACCCTCTCAAACTCCATTGTATCAAAATCCATCAATTTCACGAAAAGCTCATTAGGAATTGTTAAGCATCAGATAAACTTCAGTGTTCAAGCAGATTCAAGCAAGAAAAATCATCACTTGTAAGTTGTTTTTGAGCTTTTTGCAGTTTATGTAATTTAACCTACAAATCGTGTTTTAAGATAGAAAATTCAATTTTTTTTAGTGTTTGCCGTGTTAGGAGTCATAAGAAACGTGTTTAGTACGTATTTTTTACAATCAATGATCATTTTTTTGATGTCATTGGGACTGAGCTTCGCCATTGACAAAGCTTAAATGTTGCAGGTCATACCAGAGATGCATTTTTCTGATTTTCATCAACGTTTACATAAAAAATCGAAAATGCATATCTAATTTTAGTCAGTCTACATTTTTTCTTTTTTTTGAACCTGAGTCTTATTATTAACGTTTGTTTTGTTCTTTTATAGGGGTAATGGCTGATGGACCATTTAGGTTGAGGCACGCCAAACTTGCACAACATGCTTCTGTGCAGAGGGACAAGAGTCAGGCATCCTAGGCTCCTTCTGCCTCTAGACAGTTTGTGTCAGATGTGCCTACAACCTCCAGTGTTCTTGTTTCTACTCCTACTTCAATGTCCTCCCGCAGTAGGCGAAGTTATCCAATTCATCTCTCCCTTCCTCCGTCCTCCCGTAGACGCACTTCCTCACCGATGGTATTTAAGGCAGAAGAGACATCTGATTCCCAGCCAACACTAGAGGTCACACAACAGACACTTGAGGCCCAACCATAACCTGCATCCCAATCTCAATCACAGACGACACTTGAGGCCCAGGCAACTGAGACTGTATTGAGGCGACTAGGAAATGAACAATGAAATCACCATCATATGTTATTTATCCCACAGAAGGGAAAGAAAACATCAAGTAAACTTGAGAGAAAACAAGGTCTCGTGACCAAGAAACAGATATGGGAGTCGATTACGCAAGGGGAAGGTATTAGCACCCCTCACATTTGTGGTACTTCACGGGATCCACTCTTGTTGTTCTAATCAAAAGGTGTGTCTATCTAAACTTATAAGCTAAAGGAATCCATGAATGCAAATAGAAAAATACAGGAAAAACAAAGGTTTTAAATAAGTGTGCTCGCTTAGGCCCTTCAACCTAATGCCTACGTATCCCTTTTAAGGAATCAGAGCGTCATAGTTCGTCTTAAAAGTTTTTATTTGTTTTGTGTTTTTTAGGAGGATAGTGTTACATTCACATTCTAGCATTAGGCATAGTGCCGCACGAACCTTGGGGACTTACACGTTGTTTGTGCGGAATGAAAATAACACATCCATTTTATGAAAAGGTTTTCTTAAAAGAAAGGCCCAAAGGCATCCCATAGGAAAAATGTTTGAATTGGTATAGTCTTTTTTACTTTGACAAAAGATTTGGTGATTTGAGCCATATTAAAGACTATGATTGAAAGGAAGCAAAAGGTCGAGAATGTACCCCCTCATACTTCTCCCAATACTTAAGGCTCGTGACATATGGTTCGCCTCTTTATTCGTTAGGTTTCTTATGGGAAACTACCCTTCTGAAAAGTTTTCATAAGAAAATCCAACTCACAAAATAAGTTTGGATTTGTTATGTTAGGATATTATCAAATGAATCCAAATGGAGAGACATCAACCATTTCTCCGCTTATTTGCAAAAGAGTCTGTGAATTGAATCGTAATAAAGTACAAAAATAGAAGAAGAGAAAGTTTAGGAATGTACCACCTCACTCTTTTCTATAAGACTCAAATGCATACGATTCACATATTTATTTATTAAATGTTTTGATGTTTTTGATTTAAAAAAGAGTTTTAGTTTTAAGGATGCAAAAGGGGAATGAAAAATCTAAGGGAGACTAAATATCCTAATGTTGTCATGCAATGGTGGTCCTAAAGTTAGGATAACAAAGGGAAAATCTACCTAGTGTTAGCATACAAAGATAGACCTAAAGGCAATGATAAAAATCATAAGGAAACATGTAATGAGAGCAAAGTCGTGATCTCAAATATAATTGAGTGACTCATCGATTCAACAATAAGAAAAGGAAAGTAATAAAATCCTATAGGGAACATACAAAGGCAAGAACAAGAATGCAAAAAACAAAATAAGATTGTTTACAAGCCTACCAAACACCTAAGTGTAACACCTAACAAGCAAGCAATTATCAAACAAGTCTAAGCCTCTAATGCACACTTCAAGTCATCAATCAAGTAGCGCGAATGTGTCACAAACAAAATACTAATGTTCCCATAAGGGTCATGCATAAGTGGTTCTATCCTAAGGTATTACAAACCATGTCAAAAGCAATCAACAATTTCACTAGCACTAAAGGCTTAGAGTGTAAAGATAACACAAATGCTTAAAATACAAAGATGGTATGACTTAGGAAAGGTGGAAGTCTAACCAAGTAAGCAAGTAAAAATTCTAAATCTCACATAAACAACTCTCAAATATGTAGAAACAATTGCAAAAGAAACATGTAAGGGAAGGCTAAAGAAACTATACAAAGATCAAACTAGTTCCTAGCAACTATACCACTAAAGATTATAGCCTTAAGTCTCACTTATTGCAAAAAGGTAAGGCTATATTCAAGTACGAATCAAGTTAAAAGACATGTTTTAAAGTTGCAAAGAATCACATGGCTTCATGTACAAACAATACTCAAACAACTAATCAATTCAAGTAATTAAGGAGAAACATGTTCTCAAACATCACAAAGTAATCAAAACTTGGAAAGCAAGTAAGTTTTATGTTAAACAAAGTAGATGATTGGATAATTTATAAAATCTCAGGTAGTAGCACGC